ACACACCCAGCCACTTATAACACACCATGTCTCACCTGATATATCACACTACACAATACACACCCAGGCACTTATAACACACCACGTCTCACCTGATATATCACACTACACAATACACACCCAGCCACATATAACACACCATGTCTCACCTGATATATCACACTACACAATACACACCCAGCCACTTATAACACACCATGTCTCACCTGATATATTGCGCTGGCGCGAGAGGTTCTGCCGCACGAACGGGTTTGGCCGCCGCCACCTTTGAGTTGATGATCTTCTCTAGCTTCAGTTGTGTCTCCTCTGTGACCGGAAGCGAATACAAAGTTAAGTGCAATGACGGGCGTGTCAAGCTGGGCCCAGTACTAAACTTTATCCTATTCCAACCGGGATGGTGACTGGGAGTGGAATTCAAACACGCACATAAAAGGTTTGGGTTGTCTGGTATATCGTCCAAGTGGAGGATTGCGGCCACCAGTCATGCCAATGCAGTCGAAATGCCTCTGAAATAAAAGACAGTAGACAGATTACCGTCCCAAGCTGCACACAGGTATGATTAAGCTACGAAAACAGAAGAAGAAACCTCTACTACTGATACTACCAAGTCACGAGTAATGGTGTACGTGTCACCATCATCAAACAGGCCAAGCGCCCACGCCAACACCCCAACACCCCAACACCCCAACACCCCAACACCCCAACACCCCAACACACTCACACACTCACACACCTGTAGTCTGGTTGATGACATTCTCGTCTGGCCTGTTGTTGTTGCCTTCGACCACATCCTTGGTTTGCATGCCCTTGAGATTCGAGTGCACTACCACTCCCTTGCGCAGACCTTGCTGCGCCAGAACATCGTGCTTGACGTTGCCCTCCGCGTCCACCTGCATGGAGATCACCTTGCCAGCCGTCTTCTTTTTACCCATGCCTAGAGGAAACTGATAGAGAGACAATGATATAAGGGTAGCCATATGTTAAGGTAAAAAAATGCGAAGAATAACTACGCGGAGGAAACTGATAGAGAGAAGGATATAAGGTTGGCCATATTTTATCCAGAGTAAACTGATAGAGAAAAAAGGATATAAGGGTGGCCATATGTTACCCAGAGGAAACTGATAGAGAGAAAAGGATATGAGGGTGACGATATGTTAAGGTAAAAAAAAAGGCGAAGAATAAGAGTACTATCGAGTGACTCATATCACAGGCAGTCATAGTGAGTGTCGAGAGTATGCATGTAGCTCTAGTTAACCGGAACAGAAGAATTGACTTCTGTGCGAGGCTGCCCCTGAACGAACACCAATTGTCGGTCATACAGTACTCGATGCCGCTGCTGATTTGAAGATCTTTTAACTATGCTACATGCTCACATAGCTTTTAACTATGTTGCTAGCTCACATAACTTTTAAACCTGACCACATAAGCGACGGTATATAGCAGTCAGAAGCGACCAACTCGCCTACGCTGCACTAGTCCCGTCAATGCTATCCATAGTGCGCTGTCTCGTGTAGACAACACACCCCGCTCAGTACCAACTCTCATGTTACAACCCCAACCCTACTCACGGGCACTCTAAACAAAACACTCCAGTTGTACACAATACACCTCAAAGGATACCAACTCTTCTATTAGAACTCTATCCTATCCACACACACTCTCACAACCACCACCGTCTCCAGAACCCTCTCACCTGCGCTACGTGCAGTTCAGGAAACGCTCCACCGCCTCCGAAGTCGGCCAAGGTCTTGGGCATCCATCCCTTGCGTTTGCCGTAGGGAGGTGGACCGGCGGATTGTACTGGTGGATTCGCTGGGCCCTGAGTGTGTCGCTGTGCGGCATTGTGTCCACCCCCACGAATGGGTGCTGGTAAAACACTCGTTATGAACGACATGCCGGCGAGGTGTGTGGGTAAATGCCTGTGAGAAAGCAGGAGAAGCGTCAGAACGCAAAGAGCTGAACGTAAACACAGGCCAAAGGTGTTTGTAACTGATAGCTAAATTGCATGGATACTAAAAATAGATTCGCTGTGTGTGGTTGTTTGCCAATAAGGCCCTTATTGCGAATGGGTACTGGAAGTGTTTGGTAGAAACGGCGTATCAGCAGTATGTGGCGACTTTTGTGAGAAAATCGGTATTGAGGCCAATCGGCTAAGTGTAGTACTTTGTTACACACTTGAAATAAATATTATATATATAAAGTCAGAAACATTCTAATACGCATACCCCGGATACAAAATGATCAAATGTTGAAGAATTTCTTAGTGCGCACAAACTGCAACACCACTGCATATTCAATCGTACAAGAAACTACTGAAAAATCGTTCTCAACACCTGGTACACGCTCCACTTTCAATGAGAAACATGGCAATGGTCATAGCGATGCAAATCTGGTTTAAGAGCAAGGATAACCAAGCGATATAACCAAACAGGAATATGGCATATGCTCATTCATATACACATACTTATACAAATATACACCAAACTCGCACGAACACACACGCAAATATGAATATATA